AAAGTCAAACCTCTGAATGAACTAAAACTGCGAGGTCTTACCCATCTCAAAGGAAAGCAGACTGGAGGTCATCTACATATGCTGTTGCAAAGGTCAACCGGTACTCAAAGAGAGCTGATGGAACAAGATTTGAAATCCAACATTCTCCCTATTCATCAAATCCTACATATTAAGGCCGAGGATTATCACGGAGTGAAATTCTATTCTTACAAGCTTCAACGCACTGATGGGAGTGAATTTACTTGCCAAGAAAATGATTTCATCATGCTTAAACCAGACGACATCTATCAAATGTTTATGGCATATCGATACCTTCCAGTCAGACAAAGCAAAACATACAGCGAAGGCCTTGCAGCAATCAAAAGATTCATGCTCAGACAAATCAGAGTGCACTCATCTCACGACCTACAGATGGGTATTGAGTGCAACTTGACAAAAACAAATCTTACAAAGCCAAGACTGTATGGTCCAGAACTCGAAGACTTCCCAGCTTACCACATCTTCTTCACACCGCCAGCAGTCACATATCTCAACCAAAAGAACGAAAAACGCCTGATGGTGGTTAATGAAATTGAGAAATATTGTGATGGAACGCTGAAGATAATCAAAGAACAGCTGCTAAAGATGAAGGAACAGCTAGAGCAAAATCTTCAGGAGGCATCGTCATATATTCAAAAGGAACACTCTACAGTGGAGACCATTCTGAAAGCCATCAACGATCGCCTAGACAAGAGAAACATGCTAAGGCAATACGAGCATGCACTGAATATGAGGAAACACTATTTCAAATCACAGAAGCAATAACTAAGTGGCACTTGATCACAAAGGGGGAGATTGTTGAAGATAATTTAATTGTGAATCAAGTTTGTCATCTATCTTGTAATAGATTAGCTTTATTATTATTCCTTGTATTAAATAAGTGCATTTATTAGATAGAATATGGGCCATGTGTTAGGCCCATACTAAAGGCTAAAAGCCTTATTCGTCTACCTGAATCTCGCCTATAAAAAGGGAGCCGAGGATTCAGGATTAGGTTAACATTCGTACTTATTCATTATAGCCTTAAGCGCAAATCTTTCTGTGTACGAGTTCACGGTATATCAAAGAGGGTTTTACATCGATTCATCTGTGTTCATCCTTACGTTTAATCTTCTTTGTTATACTGCTATTCATTGCTGTTATAGAAACAGGGACTATCAGAAACCATCACAAAGCTATTAACAAACATAAGGTATGTTAATAGACCACGGAAGCAATCAATCAGGAGAAGTTAGGGATTCCAACTAATCCAACAACCACACAAAGCAAGCACAAAGACAATAAAAGAAATCATATTATCTCTATAATTAACACAAATGGAGATCACATAATCAATTGGTATCACATTTTCAAAACACAAAGGAAATATCATATCAAATATCACAAAGATTTTAATTAATAGAGAATTAAACACATTTAAGGCAAACTCAGAGAAAATACCCTCAAACACTTTGCACTTATTATTTATCTCATGCTTCCTGATGTATTTATCTCTTATAATCTGGCATTCACTCAACTCAATCACATTGCACACAACATTCATATCATGCTCCACCTCAACAGAAATATTATTTTCTCTATTTTCAACTTGAAAATCATTTTCATTCACAAATTTGAGTTTAGTTTTAGCAAGTTAATCAGGATGAATATTAACAAGCAAATGCTCCACCTCATTTGGAGCAAAATCAGGAGAGTGGAAATAAAATTTATTTATTAAAAAGGAAGTAACAATGCTCAGCTTCCTTTTACTTCTTGGAAAGGCTTTGTGAAGAAATCCTTACAATCTACCCTTTGTGTTATTCTTGACAATTTGATCTTTGATGTTGGGGGTTCAAGGATTCTTCTACATCTTGCTTGTAATCCATGCCTTCCGTAAGTTGCTCTTGATCGGCTAGAATGAAGTCCATTGGTGCCTCTAGAATGAATGTTATTGAAGAGTTTCAAGCGCACACAAGATTCATCTTCAGTATTTGATCATCCGACCTATGTATCCTCCAGAATGTAGCTTTTTCTGACTATTCAACCTTGAATGCTTTTGAGGAACAATTGTCAGTGGTATAGCGGAAAATGATAGTTGACTTCTGAGCATAGCTAACAATTAGATTTGAAGCTGACTTAGTAGTTGATGAACCTAAGAGAGTAGAGCCATCATTTTTGAGATCGAGAAGAGAAGTGTCTGATAATGATTTTTTAGAGTAAACAGCATGTGGACCACTCTCCCCCTCATGACGATTCGATGAATCGAGACGTCATGCATTTATTATTTTATTCTGGAAAATAAAACAACATAAAAGAAAATGATAAGATAAGGACCGCAAACATCGTGATGTTCTGTTATCACAACATCAATGTAAACATTTATGTGTGGCCTGTGTATAATGATAGAGACGTTACAGCTCTAACAGGACTTTCAGCCAATCATCATGAGGCATCTAAAGTAAATGTCATTATGGTTGTTCTCGCGGGTCGTGAAGACCACCAACTGACTCTAAAAATGTGCCTGTGTCCTAGAAATTTCAAAACATTTAGGATTGAGATAACTAGACATGACGTGATTAATGAAAGTTCAGTGGTGTGGGTCTGAGGGCATTTGTGGTCATTATCAGTTGCCTCAAAAGGAGACAGAGATAAGAGATTAGATTACCCGTGAAATATGATTAAACACTTGTCTGTTGGGAGACAGATGAGTGGTCTTGGGTAGGGTGGTGCATACGCTATTTGGACAAAATGCAGCGACTTCTACCCTGGATCTGATTAAATCAAGCCTGAACCTATGAGGATTGTCCGGAGTATTTGAGTGATGGGGAGTAATTTTCTCGATTGATAGCACAATTGAGGTAGCAAACTTGTGTTTGATTATTATTTTCTCACTTACTTGAGGCTTCTGATTCCTTACTCTCATAATATTCACTCACTCATTCACTCTCGGCTTTGTCCCTTGGGTAGGCTTAGTTGGGTTTACTAAGCCATCGGGACATCTCTCATAGATCTCTTCGTTTCTGTTCTCTATGTGTACCCCTCCAACTAGAGCACTCAGGGTGCTTTGTCATTGTTTGGCATCGGGGGGGGAGAGAAAATAGAAAACTCCCCCTCAAAATGTGCATCCTTTGAGAAAATCCTTGCATTGATCATTGTATGGCGCAAGGAGGAGAAACTTGAACCCCCCAGAATGTTCAAGTATTATTATTGCTTGCTGCCTGGGGATAATATTGAAAACTACCCCTTGAAGTTTGTTTTCTTCATTGTATGACACCAAGAAGAGTGAAAAAGAAACACTCCCCTCCAAACATGCACTCGTTGTTTATTTTTGGCTTGTGTCGGTGTTGAGGTGTGCATTTGTTGATTTTTAGCACAATGGGAGATACACACACCCATACTCCCTTTGATAATGTGCACTGGTTGATTGTTCACAGCTCGTCATACCCATCATGTGTGTGGAGCAATCTGTACAAGTACCACACATGCCGGTTTTACCCTAAGTTCATCATTTAGAAAAATCTATCACATTAATCACAGTTTTGATTAGCTAGGGAAGACATCCATTGTTGATTGTTGAATTAGGAGCGTTGACCCGAGTTTGATTGAAGTATTATGCAAGTTTCTAGACTTTGAAGTGTAGCTTTGACTTGACAAATGATAGTCTTCAACCTTGATATTTTTTTAATTTTATTTTTAATTAATTAATTTTTTAAAAACAATTAATTAATAATATATATTTTTAATCTCAAGGTTGACTCTTGGAAGCTTTGACCATTGAGTTGACCTTCATTTTTGGAGTTTGAACCTCAAAGTTTGAAATGGGCTCAAAACTAGTTCTTGAAGTGGTAGATAGGAAAAGTGCACTTTTTAAAGTGAAGGGAGAAAGTAAGCTTGATAACTTTTCCCACACCTAAACTCCTTAGAAAGTTTTGAGCCTATATATATGGTGCACTCCTTCCTTATGAGTAAAGTGAGGATGAGAAGATGGGACCTCTCGCGCACATGGGATTTCCGGCTTGTAATTCAAAATCGAAAATTCGCACCCGCTTGCACGGGCGTCCTGCGGACATGATAGCCGGAAAATTTATGCGCAAAATTGAACATTGAATGTGCAAAATGTCCCTTCGCGCATGAACTTTGGATGCGCAAAAAGTACCTTCGTGCATGAAGTTTGGATCCGCTAACTGTACATTCACGTAAGTGCTCCACATGCGCTAAATTCCACTTCGCGCATGAAACAATTTTAGCTCCAAATAACTTTGTGCACGGCTACTTTGCTCCTGCATAAAACTTCGCTGAAAATGAGAATACGCTAAATTGGTTCGCGCATAGATATCGTGCGCTAAACTGGTTTTTTCGCAGGTCTTCTTTGTCAATAGCGGTCCAAAATATTGCATAAATTTCAATTTGTTTCGCGCCTCGGCTCTGATATCAAATGTTAAAACCTGTTTCAACAATCTAACAACAGAATTGAACAGAAGAGATAAGTAATGAAGATCCATTCAATACCCAAATTGATTTGGAATTTTTGTACATGGTATGAACGGTCGCTGCTCTCCCTCTAGAGAGAGAGCAACGTAGAATTTCCTAGTCTATTCTACAGATGACTCTATTCATTTAAGGTTTTGTGCCTTCCTCCAGACTTTATAGGTATGAGGAATATGCACATTACAAAATAGGCATCTAAGAGACATATGGGCCTTAATCACAAGGTGCCCCATTGTCTATTAATTAGACTAAATACAACATAAATACACAATAATAAAACATGATTTATCACCACAAAATATCTCTAACAAAATTTATAAGGGACGAATGAATCATCTCTCATTGTGAGAGGTATTTAGAATCAGTTTATGATTTATTTAGGGATCCACAATCTCATATTTCCATTTTCCGCATGATATGAAACATCTCTCATTGTTCAAGATTTGTTGTACTACATATATGATAAGACAATGTTTCTATATATAGATACATACTTGGCTCTAGAAGTCCAAATGCCCACGTCGAACCTCTCCAAGCAGAATTGCAGAAAATCTTCACAGAAGGGTCGCTTTGCTACTGCAAATTCATTAGAAGTCATGAACATGATTCTTTTTAGTACATTAAAAAATATTGTACAAGTAATTAATAATGTTATGATTGAGTGGCATACTGCCATTCAGGTAAGAAAAATATCATTTTAAGAGATACATACATATGAATTTATTTACGTAATATAATTTATGTAATGTTAGAGGATTCAACCTTACTATAATTTGGTTTTGATTAACTGATGTAAAGCACTCGAGTCAATAGATTGAGATCCAAAGAAGATGTTTTTTATCTTAATCTTATTTTAATTCAGAGATGGAATGGTCACCATTTGAAGCTTAACGTGCCACCACACACCGGCGAGTGGGAGTTACCCACATAACACGTTGCACACGTTATCAAGAGGTAGATGATAAGCACGATAATTGCCTATATTTTATATTGGTAATTATGATTATATGTACAAATATTCATAGATGAAACGGGTAAAAACCACTATTTAAGAAAAACCGCGCACATGCGTCAAAGATGAAGAAATGGGAGTCAACAGGCAAAAAGAGAGTGAGAACCAGCACTTCGGGGTCAAGTACGGGCGTCAAGCGGAGCGAAAAGTGGAATATTGCACAAAAGGAGCAAACCGGCACCGGTCTACTCTTAGAACCCGCATCGCTCTGATGAATTTTTCAACAAACCGAGCAACATGTGAGAAAACCGGCGCCGGTAAGGCTTGAAACCGGTGTCGGTTAGGTCTGACTCTGCACAAAACAGGGAGACGTGCAGCCATCTTTTGATAGAAAAACCTCACCTTGCTTATGATCTGATCAAATACTTTTCCATGCCTAATTGTTGGGCTCGAATAAACTAAAAGATGACATTATTTAGCATATATAAATCCCTCAATTCATCAAACAAGATCATCAATCCATCTTTAGAGCTTAAATTTCAGTTTTTATATTTTATTTTTGCATTCTCTTGAAGTGTTGGAGAAGAAGCCATTTCTCTCCTCTACAATTGGTTCTAGGTCATATTTCTTGTATGTTATTGTATTTCCCTGTTCTTAGTTACACTTTTGTAATTAGTATAAGCTCAAGAAGCTAAATTCTTAGCTAAGGCTAGGGATGAACTTCTATGCCCACTAGGCATTTGATAAAAGTTCTAAACCAATAAATTGTGATTTATCCTTTATACTTTGATTGTTTATGACTATGGTGTACAACATAGGCGTATGTTAAATTTAGTTTATACTTGCAATCAACGTTGAGGTCTAAACTATGAACATTAAAGGACAAACATATATAGAACCGAGAATAGAAATATATTTGTTCTTATATGATACGGGTGTGATGTGTTGATATTCAACGGGGTTTTCAGTGGATGAATGTAAGGCGTAACGGGACTTACACGTAACGAAAACCACGCCCCCGCTGCGTTAACCGGAGTTGGGAATATATTAGCGACGTTGTATTCATAATTATTGGGAAAGAACTAATATTTAGCCCTATTAAAGCATTTAAGTGATTTCCGAAGCGTTAGTTGTTGTTATCAATCATCTTAAATTCGAATTAATTAAATCTATCTTCCTGAATTAAAAGTGAAAAGCCAAGTTAAAACGTAACACAAATCAAAATCTCTGCAGTTTACTCATTTCTTTATTTAAACTTATATACTCTCAGTCTTAAATTAAACAATGTTTTCATGTGGATTCGACTCGGTATTTTACCAGAATTTATTACTATATCGGCACTTGTACACTTGCAAGTTTAGCCTGGTCAGTAGGAGATGATACATGTCACACTGACATCATCTTCACATCATCATTGAGTCAGTATATGTAATCAACACATCATCATCAACCAGATTTTCAGCCCACCTCGACTATTGCCCCATTGTCTAATATGTGTCACCACACCATACTAGGGTCAGTTGCGTGTGCGCCACCTATCACCACATCACCGGCACCTGTGTCTGCACATTGGGTTGTTGCCTACACCGGATCGAACCAGTTCCTACTTCACAAGAGTAGTTCACCATCTTTCAAACCAGTTTTGAAGTCAGCCGGGTTCCCACCATTTTCTACCATCCTTGATCCAACTGTTTGCTCCTTTTGACCTAACTTCGGTTCAAAAATAAGGCACGAGAAATATTGTACACTTATTATGGATAAATCATCAACGGATACCATGATTGTGCTCACTATCACAAATTACAATATGTGGAAACCTCGAATGGAGGATTTGCTAAATTTAAAGGATTTAGCTGATCCTCTAGATAATAATGGCGCCAAAACAAACAAAAAATGGATGAAGAATGGACTAATAATGAATAGAAAAACAGTGACATAGATTCGACAATGGATTGATCATAGTGTTTTCCACCATGTTGCTCAAGCACATAATTCTTACTTACTATGGGAGAAGTTTGCTAGCATGTATCAAACAAAAACTGTTCGAAATGAGATGTTAATAATGAGACGATTGGTCAACTAAAAGTTACGTAATGGTATCTCATTGCATAACACACGAGTCTGTTTTAGGATCTTGTGAACCAATAGAGTGCCTCCAGATGGGTTCTTAAAGATGAGGAAAAATTGACGTTATTCTTGAACTCGCTACCTAGTAGATGAGAGACTCTTGATGTTACTCTATTATTTTTGCTCCCAATGGCAAAATGATACTGTAGATGATCATAGATGTCTTGAGGAATGAAGAAGATCGAAGGAAAGAAGTCGAGATTGATTATATGCCCTCATGTCAGAAAGCAACAGACAAAAGGGAGGCAAAATTGATGAAGAGGTTAAGGTGAAGTTAGAGGTCAAGGTAAAAATAGAAGAAGCTCTCAAGTTTGTGACAGGTCACGAGAATGAGGTATGTCCTTTTAGAACTATACTTAATTAATTTGAAGGTTAGTGCAATCATTATGGTCATTATGGGCATAGAAAAAGATTTTGTAGAAATTTTCAAGAGTGCAGTCCCAAATAAATAAAAAAACAAGCCTAGAAGATGGTGAGACTATGATGACTATGACATCATCAGACATGTTACTCGTTGCATATGGTGAGCAGGAATGTTTACATGTAGAAACTCATGATATTGAGTGTGTGGTTGATAAAACCACATCATTTCCATGGAAAACACCAGTTCCATGAAGATTGTTGGCATTGGTGAGGTGCCTATAATAACCAATCTTGAATGCACACTAGTGTTAAAAGATGTTAGATATGCTCTGGATCTCATAATGAAGCTTATCTTTGGTGTAGTTCTGATTCATTAGGGATGTGATAATCAATTCAAAGAAGCTACATGAAAGTTATTGAAAGGTTTCTTGATTATTGCAAGATGTCATATTTGTGGTACTCTTTAGAAATTCCATGTAAAGTTGTGTCGTCCAAATTTCAATGATGTTGAAGAAGAGACATCACAAAACTTATGTCGTCGGAGGTTGGACCATTTGAGCATGAAGAGGCTGATAATTCTTGATAAGAAGGAAGACATTTCCATTGATAAAGGTGTTTCCTTGGATCCATGTGAGTACTTTCTATTCTGAGAACAACACCGAGTATTCTTCAGTTGCACAATAAAGAACCATTCTGAGTTATTCGGCCTTGTGTAGTATAATGTATGTGGATCCATTGAAGAGGAATCATTTTGGGGCAGTGTATATTTTGTTTCATTCATTGATATATGATGCATCACGAAAGGTGTGGCTTTACCATCTAAAATTAGTGATCAAATGTTTGATCGTCTCAAATTATTTCATGCCATGGTAGAATTTTCTATTTTCGAATGAGAAACAAGGAAGAGGTTGAAGTTTCTATTTTCTCACAATGGAGGAGAGTACACTTTATGGGAATTCTCAACATATTGTGCTACATATGGAATCAGACATGAGAAAACAATTCCAATAACACCACAACACCATGGTGTGGTTGAATGGATGAATTGGACCATTGTGGAAAAAGTTTGTTGCATGCTCAGTATGGTAAACTACCCAAGCCAGTCTAAGGCGAAGTTCTGCTGTCAGCTTGTTGTCTTATAAACAAGTCACCTTCTATTCCTTTAAATGTTGGAGTTCCACAGAAGAAATGGTCAGGGAGATAGAAGCTTGATCTCAAGTTAAATCCATGCATCTTCATCGTCTACTGGGTCACGAGTTCGGATACGAGGTGTAGGATCCCAAAATGAAGAAAGTTATTCGAAGCAGATATGTTGTATTTGATGAAAACCAATTTGCTCCAATAATTCGCAAATAACATACCTCTCATAATCTAGAAGACGACGTCCATGTATCATCAAGCATCCCTCTCAGCAATGAGGAAATGCATGATACTACAGAACAAAAGTGTGATGGCCCCATAGATGCTGATGGGTTCACGATGATGATAGTCCTCAGCAGGAGGAGCCTAGCTTCACCAGAAGATGCAGCTGAAGGTACTCAAGTTTGACGTTCTATGCGAGGCTCCACACAGAAAATACTCTACATCCAAATGGATACTTGTTGCCAGTGAGAGGGAGCCAAAGAGCAACACTAGAATGAGAGGAATAAATTAAACAAAAATGTGGAGGGGAAGATTTGTACGGTTCCACCTTCTTTCTTAAAAATTGCCAAGATCCATTTAGGAAGATATGACAAAACATCGTCTAGGAAGGAACCATCCAACAAGTAGGTATGGAGGCACCCTTTTGGAAAGAGTTCTCCAATAAATAGCTATGGTAGAAGATATGGAGAAGATGAAAGCACTACCTCTTGTCTCCAAACTAGTCCATAAAAAGAGAGCTTGTTATTGTTCATTATTAGTATACCATAAAGTGAGTACAGTGTGAGTATAGTGATATACACTAGAGAAAGAGTGTATAAGTAAATGTTGGTTTTTTGTTGTTAGGTGGGCTTGACCCCTCCCGTAATTTTTTTCTTTTATGGTGAATAAAAGAATTTTCTAATCCCTGTCGTAACTTTTAGTGTGTTCGCAATTCATCAGTAGGACAAGTACTATCATCACTTTTTTTTGGTTTGGATCTTATCGAACGAAG